TGATGTCATCAATGCCATGGACCAGTGTGATATCTCGTAGAAGGGGAAGGTGACTAAGGTCCTTATAGACTGAATCATGACATAGGGCTGAGGACTCTATATGCCCCAGATGTAGGACAGCAAAAGTGTATTGCTGGCCTTGCAGGAGCTGCTATAGGACTCACCACCTGGTTACGTTTATGACAACCCACTGTCATTCTCTAGGATTCATCTGTTTTCTGCACAGGCCAATGGGTGAGCTGAATTAGGGTGTGGTGGGAAACATTACCCCTACATAATTTAAGCCTTTGATGGTGGCATGAATCTCTGCTCTCCCTCTGAGAATGTGGAATTGCTTTTGATGTACTATTAATATAGTCCTAGGTAAAGGGCATTATACTGGCTTCCACTTGACCTTTTTACTATAATAACCTTCACTCCCCAGGTCAGGCAACCAGTGTAGAAAATATGCCATTTGCTGAGTGTGGCTGTTCTAATTTTGTATTCCAGAACTGGAGAAATCACCAACGATGGGTTTGGTGACTCACTGCGGCCACTGTGGGACAGATCTGAGCTAACAGTCCACCGACCACGTGACCCCCATGAGCCTCTCCACGGACTGGTGGATGGACCCCAGTGATGTGTGGATCTCCTGGAATCAGTGTCAGTTCCGAGCCAGTGTCCAATAGCCTCTGCAAAGTATGACTTTTTTCCTTTTCTGCAATACACAGTCACCCTGCGAAAGGTTCTAGGTCTCTTTGGGGGAAGACTCGGAGAAAGATTCGCAGTTTAGATTTGGGGAGTGTGGTGGGATCCAGGGTGGGTGAATAGATCTTACATGATGAATCCTCTGTAACTATGAGTAGAATGACATAAAGCTTTCTCTACAAGCCATGGAGCAGACATTAAGCCATCTGGAAATAAAACTCCAAAAAAACAAACAAACAAAACAATGGCCTCAGCAAAATGCTATACCTGGTACTCTTATCTACCGATGTTACAGAGAATAAAATCATGTAAACAGGTTTCTTTTCATTCTAACCTGACATTATCACCATGGACACCCATCAGGATGTACTGAGAGATAAAGTTAAGGCTTTCTGTTTCTTTCAGCCCTGCTGCAAATGACTTTGTGAAAGACGACTCATTAACCCATGATCAGCAGGACAAGAATTAATTACCTAGGACTTAATGAACTGATTTAATTGTGGTTAATGTTCTACTTTCTAACAGACAGATGAGAAACCCATTTCTTTCTTGTCTATCTCTAACCCTCAACTTAATAGGTTAAATTGAACTAAGTGGAATGAAACGCTCTTTAAATGATATATTATTCTGACATTTCAGAATAAAAACTCCTATGAAAGATCCTAAAATAAGTTATAAACTAACATAATAAAAACATTTTTGTAAAAATAATATTTTCTACTACCCCATGATAGGTCTTCCATGCAGAGTGGAGCTGGACTGTTTTATATATATTGCCTCAAAGAGGAGGGTGTCATCATAAAAAGATACTGACAGCACTAGTCAAATTCTTGGCTTTTAAGCTTCAAAAGCCAAATTCAAGGATTTGTCATTATTTGGAAGAGTTGGAAGAATATGCCATTATTCAGAGTCCAGGTTCAGGTCTGAGTATAAAGAGACAGTGTGCCCTGCCCTCCCCACCCTCCATCCTGACCCCAAGGCAATGTCCCAGGACTGGTAAGTGTCTAGATACCCCTGAATCTAGCAGGTTCAGGATCTGAAGAAATGGCCACCTGGAGTGCCTTGGCAAGAGAGGCAAGGCCATCTCACAAGTTCCCATTATCTCCACAGTGTGGAATGCAGAAGGTGGGTTTCTCTCACTTCAGATGGGAAGGATAGAATATTTCTTGGGTGCATATGAGGAGATCAAAATTCACTGTGAATGAGAACCTGGAATGAGAGATATCCATGAACAATCTACCTGGATAGAGGACAGAGGACTGAGGACCAGCAAGGTCAAAGGGCGTTTCAGCAGATGGCAGCACAGGCAGATGACAACAGAGGACCAGATGCCTCACCCCTCCAAGCTTCACCCTTCAGTCACCAACACTTTTCCAATGAGAAGAAGCGTAAGTTTCTTCACAGACCAAAAGGGAATTTGTAAAGTAAAACAAATTCAAATATGAATTATAAAAGAAGCTGTTAGTTGCACTGATTCCATAGTTAGAGATTCATAATCAATTAATTTAGTTTTCCCTTTACATCTTGCATTGATCTTCCAATACTTAATGATATGTTCTATATATATAGTATGTACTCTGTAACTATTGGATACAATACGTTTATTCACTTGGTTCTGTTTGTACAACTATCTGAAGACATCACTCTTTATTCCCACTCGTCAGTGGTTGTCACTAGCCACATACGACTATGAAGACTTGAAATGTGGCTAGTCTGAATTGAGATGTACTGTAAGTATAATATGCACATGAGATTTTGAGGACTTAGCTTAATACCAAGAAAGTAAAATATCACACTAATATTTCTATAATTATTGCACATTGATAATATTTTGGACATATTGCATTAAATAAAAGTATATTGTTAAACTGAATTTCACTTGTTTCTTTTTACTTTTTAAAAATGTACCTACTAGGAAATTGAAACTTTCCTGTGTGACTCGCATTATATTTCTATTGGACAACGCTGCCCTATCTGTTCATTCATGTTGATCTCGTTTACTTTCACTGGCGTAACCACCATCACTGCTTAATTTTTTCCATGTGGAAAAAAAATTAAAATTAGAATTTAATTTTTCCATGTGGACACTCAATGATTATATGTCTAACATTTCCTGACAGGGTGTACTGGAAATTACAAATTACATAGAAAATGTCTTACATCTCATTTCCTGATGATTGGAAATGATCAGTCTGTAATTTGTACAAAAAGAAACAGATTTTCTTTAAAGTAATTAAGGCCAAACCATTAATACTGCTGATATTTTCTTGAAAATGCTTGGTGACTAAATAGATATAATTAAGAAACTTTTACAAGTGAAACAAGAATCAAATCAAAGAGAAAAAAAATTCTGATATTTCAAATGTCATTAAATTTATTATGTATTTCTTAATTTTATATAAGTAGTAGTGATGCATTAAAAATAGGGTAATTTCGCAAGGTTTTATTTACAAGGAGGCTATTTATTAACGTAGATTGGAACTACAGGGACAATGCATTAATCGAGGGCTAATATAGTATCTGAGATTTTATACCTTTAGTCCTGAAGTTGGCCATTGAGAAAGGAACTGTGACCTTCATTTAAATCAGCTTCAACTGGAGGTCTCATAGGCTTCTCAAACTAGTATGTCCAAGGAAGTACCCAGCACTTACTGCACGGTTACCCAGACAAGGTCGCAATGCGAGTTTCTAAAATGAGACAAGAAAGTTTACGAGAGGCTGATTTAATTAGGATTCGGATAACACAAGTTATTGTGATTTTTACAAAATCTGAAAAATCTATGCCATTATCTGTGGTCCCCTACTAACACCAAGACATAGCTGGAGACTTCTGCAACTTACAGTGTATACCACGTAAACTTGAACTTGTATTCACCTTAGCAATGGTACAAGCTTATTGTTATTGAGCTCTTCCCATGTGTTAGGAACTTTATTTGTGCTCTTATTTAAGGCTTACAAGAACCCTGTGTGATGAGGAAATTAAGGCTTAGAGGGGTTAAATGTCTTGCACAGGCCTCATAGCTGGTAGGTGGTGAAGCTGGGTTTCCAAGCTCAATAGCCTAACTTCAGTACACGTACGTGCACACCACTGTTCTGCAATACTGTGTACAAATTATTCGTACATTCCAGGCAGAGGGGCAAAAAGGCCATGAATTAGGTACTGCTAAATCTGACATTGGTGATGCTAGGAGTGAGGAAGGGGGCCAGGAGGTATAATAATAAGCTGGGGAGGAGGATTATAAAGTGAATGTGGTTAAGGATAGAATCTTTTTCCTTGTCTGTTGCTTAAAAACAAACAAACAAACAAAAATTGTTAAATTAAGCCTGCATTGTACTAGATATTGGGGATAGAAAAGTGATGGAGACAATTTCAGTGTAGTGGGGAAGATAGTAAATACATTAGAATGAATTTTAAAAGTTAACATAGACCGGTCCACAAAACATTAGAGATATTATGGAATTCATTCATTCATTTCATTTATTCAGAGAGCATTTCCTGAGTCCTCACTATGTTGTGCTAGAAGCAAGCTAGTGAAGGTGTTTTTGGGGGCAGCAATTCAAGTAGCAAGAATGGAGCTACAAGGGCAGGGGGAGGTTATATCGCCTGGAGTGTTCAGACAACGCCAATTGAACGGTTAGCTGTTACCTGAGCAAAAAGTTAAGGTTGGCAACAGAAGAGGACTCCAGAAAGGAACAGAGTGGACAGGTTGAAAGGGCTTGGACTTTTTACTATGACAACCTAAATTGTTTTTGGTGGAATTGCAAGTGGACACATTTCCCTGCAGTATCGCTTTTATTAAAATAATCTGTGGGGTACAAAAGCACACACTTTTTATTATGAAAATATGGATGCATTATGTAATTGGTGCAAGAGCACATGCGTTAGTAAGATATGACAGAAAACGAAATTCCACAGCTGGGCAGGCAGGTGGTTTTGGCTCTCTCCTTAAGACTCTGGGGCTGGAGTTTATGGTGTTCCGCCCTCAGACGGTCTAGGGCAAGATAGTTGGAGAACACTGAATATTTACGTGTACGAGGTGAGTGTAAGAGTTAAGCACACGGACTGAGGACAGGCTGCGACGCAGGCACTAGGAGCCCGTGCGCGCCTCTGCTCCCTGGACCTCTCATTCCGAAAAGACCCTCCACCAGGCGCCCGCCCCTTGCTAACCAGCGGCTCTAGCTCGAGAGCTGCCCCTTTAACGCCTAGCGCCTCGTTGCCAGGGCAACCCTCTACCGCCGGTGCGTCTGCGGCCTCCCTGCTATTGGCTGAGAGGACGTAGCATGCGTCTGTCGTCAATGAGCGGCGCCGCCAGATCCGGGGCCCGCGCGGATCTCGTTTTCCCCGAGCCCCGGTGGCTGGTGGTGGGAACCGCGGTGGTTGGTCGAGTGGGCGCCGAGCAAAAGCCCCACCTGGGGTGGCGGCTGGCGTGCGGATCGCGTCTGGAGAGAGGCGCGGTTGGAACTGGCCTCCGGAGCCGTGGGCCGCGGGTGCTGGGATCCGCGGTGCAGCCCGCGCGCTCTCGGCCAAGCGGGTCCTCGCTGGCCTGTTGCTAGGGCCGCCGGAATCCGTTGCTAAGGATCCTGGAGATGCTGTGACCCCAGAGCGCGCCTTTTCTTTCCTAAGGTCGGGCATTGGACCAAGGTAGCCTTCGTTCGCCTTAGTTGAAACCGGCCGTCTTTCCACCCCTTAAATATATATATATATATATATATGTATATTTATTTTTTTTCCCCATCCCCCCCCCCCCCCCCTATGTCCTCGTTATTTTCCAGTTTTGATAACATCCTGGCCCTGAACTGGTCTTAGGTATTTAGAAATGTATGGTATTGGAGGTGGAGAGCCTAAGAAAATGGAAAGCAGATTTTAAAAGACCCTTAAATACTTGCCCTTTGGATTGACTTCATGATAAAAGGGGATTGAGATAAGTGGATATTAGGCTCTGTCTCTGTACTTCGGAATTTGAAGGAGCGTTAGAGGTGGAACATGGCTTCTTTAGTGCGGTGCCTATTACACTTTTGGAACTTTATCTAAACGTAGATAAATTGGAAGTAAGGGGGCGTCTACCCCTGAGAATTGAGCCAGCAGTTTCATGCAGTGGTCTCAAAGCGGGGTGCGGAAATAAAGCGCATAGAGGGAAAGAGAGGATTTATGAGCAATCCAAAACAGCGAAAGAAACGTTTGCTTCCCAGCGTTGACACAAATGCCTCCAGCCCCTTGTAGACTGATTACCTGCAGCAGCTGAGGAAAACTTAGGGGCCTTCAGTGGGGCCCTGGTTGTTTGCTTTCTGATATGGTGACATAGTTTAGGTGTTTGGGTTAAGTGCATTTGTGGATTCTCGTGCCTGTTTAGAACCTTTATATTGCTTTGTAAAAGAATGAAAGGTGACTTTGTAATATTTATAACAAAAAATAATGCTTAATTTTTCACTCACTTCCAACATTACCCTTTTATACCACCTTCTACAGGTCATTTAAGGAAAAAGTACGCAAAAGGGTGGTTGAGCATAAGATGAAATAAGCTTTTTTTTTTTTTTTTTTTTTTTTTACAAACAACCCATGCTCCATATTTGTTGTCAGTGGTATGCTCCCAGATAGATATTATTTTAAAAATTTGAACACAATTTGTCTTTAAGGTAAAGGGTGATGCTTTTAACAATAAAATGAACGATGAATTGTTTCAGAAAGAAACTAGGGTGAACATAGAAATGTTTGCATTTGTGTGTGTGTGTGTGTGTGTGTGTGTGTGTGTGTGTTTTGATGTTGCTGAAAATTACATAAGTATATTACACACAAAAACTGTGCCGTATACTTAAAACCTTTGGAAGCTCCATTTTCCAGCATATTTAAGTCAGATGAAACGCTTCAGTGGCTTTTTGAACTCATTCATAATGCAGCACCTTCCCACTAGTGCCTGCAGGAACAACTTTTTGACATAAAGAAATATAGACATTTGTTTCAGTAAAAACTTGCAGAGTTGGTTGGTTGGTAGTATTGAAAAATGTGTGTCATGATGTGTTGTGGCCGACTATGCTCTTTGTATGTTTGTGGGTAGGCATCTTTGTGATGTATCTTTTGAACTATGTCAGCTATTCTAGTTTACGATCAAAAGAAACCGAACTTAAACTGGATCTTCAGACTGATGTAGCCCAAGGTGTTAGAACAAATTCTTCAAAAAGAAGGAAACTGTCTAGTCACCTGGACCTCATATTGATCGTGATACTAAAAACCATTTTGTACCATTATAAAGAAAATGCTAAAACTCCTAGAGCACTTACTATGTGTCGAGTGCTTTTCTAAATGTTTTACATTTTACGTATATTAACTTACTAGTCTTCATATATGGTTAGAGTAGGTATTGTAGTTATCCCCAGTTCTAGAGTTGAAAAGGAGACACAGATTTTTTTTTTTAATAGAAACTTAGATTGTATTGATTTCCTTCAGGAACTTCTCAAAACAGAGGCCAAGTACAATGGTGAGTACTTGCTAGATAATCACGGAAGTGTGGTATTAACATATTTAAAGTTTGCCATGGCTTAGCTTAGAATAAGATATTATCTGACAAATTTAATGAAGTAGTCATGACTGTTTTTCCAGAAAATGCCTTGAGGATGAATGTGAAGTGTGATATTGGGAAGTAAAGTAAATCGTCTGTGGGTTGTAGGATGAGAAAATTAGATCACTGTATTAAATCAAGAAAATTGAAATTTAAAATTACTCTGTGTACAGAAATCCTGTTATATTTTCTTTATCTTTACAAGGCACTCTGATCTGGTCACATCATGTTTGAAATATTTTCAGGCTCTGTTATTACATGGAGCTTTCTCCTTATTGGGAAGTTTTCCAATTTGTAAAGTAGATTAAACTCATCTCATGTGAGGAATCATTTAAGAAAGTATCAGTGTTTATCCTGAATAACACAAAACTGAGGAGTTGACAGTCATTGTCCTCAAAAATTTGAAAAGCTGTCATTTGCAAGTGGAAGAGGACTTACCTTTGCTGCCTTATGGGAAGAGCTATAATATTAGTATGTATATGACTATATTAATGTATAATTAATATATGTAATGACATATATATATATATATATATATATAAATAATGACTTAAAGGTATAAAGTGGGAAATGCTCTAATGGAAGACTAACTGGAGTGTCATGCAGGTGAGGGAGGAAGTAACTAAGCAGACATAAGAAGGAAGGAGTGCAGAAATTAGAGGGGCATGGAAGTGAACATTTGAGAAGCAGAGACGATGGGGAAAGGCTGAACTTGAGATTGGAGCTAGGCCTAGAAACATCAGCCGGCAGTTGGGTATGAGTCGGTGTGTGCGATGGAGGCCTCCTTGGTAGAGAGATACATGTAGAAATACTTGGACTAAGCAGGAAATCATGGGCTGTGAAACTAGAGCCCTTCCATTAACAGGAAAGATGGAAATGGGGAGGAGTAGTGAACCACAGTCACCGGGTGAGCAACTTGATATTGATCGTATTTACTCAGTAACATCCTTGAAAGGCTTGTTCTCCACCCCCTTTTAGTAGATTAGAAAGCTGAAGCTTAGGGAGATTAAATACTGTGCCTGAATTCATAAACCTCATAATTGGTAGAGATGAGCTGCAGACCCAGATCTGAGCCCACAGCTCTGTCTACCTCGCCGCGCCGCGTTCAGCACGTGTGTAGGACTGAGTGCAGGAAGGAAAGGAAAGGAAACAATGATGTGAGTTTTGCAGCCTGGGCGACCAGATGACCGGCGGTTCCTTGACTCAACAAGGGGTTCATCACTTCAGCGTTATAATCTCCACTTTGGTTATGTTCAGTTTATGGGAGCTCGTGGTACATTGAGTAGGAGAGTCCGTTATGTCACTGGAAAAGTAGGACTTGATATGCAGATGCTGATGTTTGGAACTTTGGAAATACAGAGGCCAGAGAAGATGGAGCTGATAGGGGATGTGCCAACCACTCCTTTCATACAGCTAGTTCATGTTTTCTGAATATAGCCAGAGGATTGGAATTCAGTGTCTTAACAGTTATTTTGATACTTTGAATGAAAAAAAATGTTTGCTTTTATACATCTTATTTTCTTATAGCTAGTTTTTAATTTGCTGTTAATAGATATTATTGAAATTGATATAATTTTATATTTTCTCGTTAGTCTTTTCAGGTATTTTGTTCCATATCATGCGTTTTTGGTGTGTCTTTTACTGTATTACTCTATTCTCTTCTGTTTTGGTCTTTATACTGTTAATGAATCCCCCCCCACCCCCTCCCATTTTTGAAATCAAGTTTCATTCTAACTGCAGGAGTAAACGGGAAGCGATGCAGAAACCAGAGTGCCATGGAGACGTACAGTTGAGAAACAGAGTGACAGGTACAGAATGTTGCTTTTTGAATGAAGAGATGAACTTTATTAACGACACATTCTTTTATACAGATGGATGCAGGGTGAGCTTTATTGTTTTCACCTCTTTTTGTTGATGTTCTGGTTCTTTCCAGGTAACTGTGATCAAAGGGCATCATCAGGTGCACAAATAAAACAGAGGACCACAGTTCAGCGAAGCAAGTCCTCCTCCCCAGCCAGTTCTCCAGAGTCTGCAGGAAAACTTCACCCTCGGCCAAGTGATAAACTTAACCCCAAAACGATTAACCCGGTAGGTACAAAAGCGATTCCTGACTCTAGGTTTTTCAGAGTGACCTGCACTTGGCACACTATGGAACCATTCCGAATGGTGTCTTAAGTTCCTTTTGTTGGTTAGTGTTGAGGTAGTAATGAAGGAAGGGCATATGATCATCATGATGGAGAATGGAGACGATGTGGGAGTGAGTGTACAGGTGAGAAGGTGTAAAGTAGACATTCACCAGTGTTGGTGTTCCATGTCACAGTCATGGGTGAGTGTTGTAGAATATAAAGTAAATCACGTATCATCAGCGTTATTTTTTATTTGCTGAGGTTGTTTCACTTCCTAATATCAGTGAATAAACTTGTATTTAATTTCCTTTGGATGAATTATATGCCTCTATGGTTGCGTAAAAGTCTCTAACCATTTTTCTGTGATCTGTAAATTAGCCCCACCAGAAGTCCTAACTATAGTACTATTCTCCTTTTTTGCCTTATTCATAGCAATTGAATCAGATTTAACAAGCATGAGATTTATGCACAATAAAGTACATAATTGTGGGTAGGTCAATGAACTATCCGAAAGTGAAGACACCTGTGCAACAACAGGTGGTGTTAGGCCCAGTCCTGTGTAGGGTAAGAAGATAGTGGTTTCAGCCCTTGAAAGGGATTCTGAGGCTGGCCAAGATGCTGACTTTGATGGCAGGTGAAATATGGCAGGTACTTACAATGAACTATCCAAGGGCAGAAGGAGACTGTCTGACTTAGAAAAGAAAAACGAAAAACAATTTGAGTATCTATGTTCCTCTGCTTCTTTCAGTAATCTACACAGTGTCAAAGACATTGAAATCCTGAGGAATACCCTGATACCTTCTTGCTGTTGCTCCTTTTCCCATATCTAATTGAGGGAGTTTGTAGCCCTAAATTTTCCCCAATGTAAGCAACACTTTTTCTGTTAATTTCATTGTCTGATACGATTCTTACTTGAAAACAGTTTTTAAAACATGTATTTTTCTTAGCAGGAATTATAAATAGATGAGTGAAATATCACTATTGCTGTAAATTACTATGCAGAATGTGGATTGACTTTGCAAATGAACCCTTTATTATGTTTTAATGAAATTTCATGTATGTACTCAAAATGTGTCTTTCCAGATGAAAAGGACTAGTTCTAAACATATACTCTTAAGTATATTTTTAAATTACTGCATGTGTTCGAAACATTTTTTAGCTAATTATATATAGTAAGGTTATTTTTGTAAGTTAGACAACTGTGTTTCATTTGATTATATTCAAGGTGCCATGTGGTAAAATATTTACTTTTTGTGCCTCTGATCAATTTTATTGAAATTATGCTGTGATTTTTTAACTATTGTGATTGATCATCTCTTAAATCGCCTTTGTGAGTAGATCCACAATTAACCTACTCTTAAAATAACAATGTGTAGCAAAACCCAAAGCTGTGAAGTTGTAGATCTAAGCACACACATCGGGGCATATGTTTTTGAGAGTCTTACTCAATCTCCAGCCTATCAACATCCCTGCCAACCTAAGCCTTTGATTTTTATAGAGGCAGAAAGCCAGTTTGGAGAAATTACAGGTTCTCTGACCATCTAGACATCGTATTTGGCTGAGGACAAATAGGAAATGTGCCAAAGGCAGAAAACAAATAAACGGCCCTTTACTTAACACCTGTCCTCCATTCAGCTCTCACCTTGGAAAGTCACAGTGGGAGGGAGTGGAAAGATGTGTTATCTTTATTATATTTATAATATTTATATTTGTCTATATTATATTTATTACATATATGGTTTCAGCCACCTTCAAGCCTTCTGAAACAAGTTAGCGGTGGAAAGGAGCACACAGTGTGGTTGTGGCTGTGGCTTCAGTCCTGCGAGGACGGATGGTTTTCTCAGCCATCCGAGTAGAATGCTGACTGGGTACCCACGCGGTGGCTTGAAAGTCGGGGCGACCGTTTGCCTCTGACCTGAGCAGGATTAAAATTGATTAGACATCACGAAGTGGAGGTGATGGTAATGTTTATTGTGTTCTTGTCATTTTTTATTTCAGTTTGGTGAACAGTCACGAGCCCCTTCTGCATTTGCAGCTATTTACTCTAAAGGAGGCATTCCTTGCAGGTAAAATCAATACAAGTTATAACTGACCGTGTCACTCAAAATAATTGAGTAAAATCAATACCGTGTTCAGTTTAAATGTGTGGAAAGTTTTATTTACGAGGGAGGATGAAATAAAGGTGACTTACACTGTGGCTGCTGGATTGGTATAGATCCTGGGACATTGTTGATGAAAATAATTTTAATTCCAAAATAGAATTACCAATAGAACTGCAGTAAACCACCAAATGATTTAAGACATTGATTCAACCAGTTTCTAAAACAACCTAAGCATTCACTGGCTTGGGCAAGTTGCAAATAAATAATCCAATTTTGTTTGTAAACTGAAAGTTGACAATTTAATGAAATTATTTCATTATTTTTTGAAATTATCTTTCAAAAATTCAAAATTTCAAAGTTATATTTGTTGAAATTATATTTCTTAATTACATGTGTCTGTTTTTTGCTTATTTTATATGTAATTCCTGCCACCTTTCTGGACAGACATCAGAACTGTTTTAAAGAAAATAATATGGGTTACTAATAAAGTGATATCATTTTCAGATTTTTCTGTCGAGAAACATTTGTTTCTTCTAAGTATATCCAGCTTAAGTCTGTTCTGGATGATAGAAAAATTTCATTTTCATTGTGGAAAGAATAATCACAACACCCTTTTTGTTATTTTTCTAATATTCAAGAAATGTTTTTAGTGGGGTTTTCAGACTTGGAGGACTATGAGTGAAAGAACACTCAAGAAGCACTCTCCCATTTATTACTATTTCATATTTATATTTCTCATTGAAACCCTATTTTAAGGTTCTTACACTGCCTTCCCCGCTCAGAGCAATTTATTGTTGCTAAAACAATGTTACTGAGGCCTCTTGCTGTTATGAAAATAACACTAATGAAGGAATCAGGAAGTTCAGAACATTACAAAAGGGATGTGAAGAAACATTTGGGGATGATATTATTTGTCATGATTCATTGTCATGATTGAACTCGAAAACTGTAGGTTTAACAAATGTGGGATTGTTTAATTTTGCCACCAACACAATTTTGCTGAAAGAGTGGGAATTTGTAGGATTATAGATTGCTTTATAAGATGTGTTTGTAATATGTTTTGAAGTCATGGTTTTCCTACATGTAACAAAATAATTCTAACATGGTTATGTTCTAGAAAGAGTATGTATATTAAATAATCACTGCTTAACATTTAATTGTGTTATTCTTGTTACGTTCACTGATTTTTATATTTTAGATTGGTCCATGGTTCGGTAAAACACAGATTACAGTGGGAATGTCCCCCTGGCAGTCTTCCATTTGACCCTCTGCTTATTACTTTAGCTGAGGTAAATACTCCCTCTCTCCTGTTTATGGAAAAAAATAGTTAGAAATTGCATTAAATGCTATTTTGTAACTCATCAGTGAATTTCATTATTTACCCACAATTTCTTGGTGTAATTTTAATTACTGAAATTATGGATCATGATTAGGAAAACAATAATAAAACTTAAATTTCACTTAGACTAATAAGGATTTGATTTTGTGTTATTAGCTTAATCAACTGAGCAGTAAATCATGGTTTGTTTGTTTTTTCTGTCTTCGGCAGGGTCTGAGAGAGACTAAACATCCATATACCTTTGTGTCAAAGGAGGGTTTTAGAGAATTGCTTTTGGTCCAGGGTGCTTCTGAAAAAGCTGTGCCTTTGCTTCCTAGACTGATTCCTGTGCTAAAGGCAACTCTGGTATGTCCTTTGTTCCCGTGGACTTGCTGTAGTACATGTAGGATGCTTATGTGTTTCTTTTCCTCCAAATTAATATGCAAATTAGTCCTGTACCTGTGGTTTTGATGTGTGTGCAAAATTAGGCTACTGGGATTCAGAGCCAGGTGATTACTTACTCAATTACTTACTTGAATGGATGCACTAAAGGTAAAATGGGACATTTTGCGTGTTTAGAGGAAGTAATGAACCTCAAAGCAGTCTTTCTGCTATGATACATTTTAGTTAATGTTTTGGTCAAGCTGAAAATTTGTTTTTTGCTCCTACATGTCCAGCATTAAAGGTTGTATTTTAAATTCTGGGTTTGGTTGATTATCTTCTAATTTTAAACGCTCAATCTTTCTCCTCCACGGCTTGCCCTTCCTCCACCCCATCCTTCCTCTCCTTCCTCCTCTTCCCCTCCCTGTTCCTCAACCGCTGACCAATCATGGCATCACAGGTCCATTCGGATGATGAAGTGTTTGAAAGAGGATTGAATGCTCTGGTGCAGTTAAGTGGCATCGTTGGTCCTTCTCTAAACGACCATCTGAAGCATCTGCTTACAAGTGTGAGTACTGAAAAGATTAGAGAGCAGCTGGGAATATGTATCATGCCCTATCCATATCACTTCATAACTTAATGGCTTCCAATTAATCATTAAAATGATTCAAAACCTCAAAATAAAACTCATCATCCTAACCAAAAAATATAGAGATCAGACCGAGTAGCTCATAAAACATTTTACTAATGGACAGTATGCTCTTTAAATTTTTTTACTGGAAGGCACCTACAGGAGAATTTAAGAGTTGCAATAAAAAGTAAAAAAAGTTGAGTGGACAGAAATTAATGAACAGTGTAATGGTATGATGCCCATGTGGATTAGCTATGAATTAGACACAGAGCTTATACAGCCGCTTGTGTAATTATATATTACCAGTCATGTTTTCATCTTTTTTCTTTTTGTTTTTCATTGTAAGTTATTTTTATTATTTTTTTAAATTTACTTTATTTTTTATTTATTTTCTTCTCCTTTTTTAAAATTAGTTTCAGGTGTACAAAACAACATAATGATTAGACATTTATACCCTTCACAAAGTGATAAACCCCCCCCAAGTCTGCTACCCATCTGACATTGTACATAGCTATTACAATACCATTGACTACATTCCCTGTGCTGTACTTTACATCCTGTGATGGAAAGTGCTGTACATACATATATATGTATGTGTGTGTGTGTGTAGATAGCTAGCTAGCTAGCTAGATAGATAGATAGATATAAAAATTATAGTTGACATTCAGTCTTAGTTTATATTCGTTTCAGGTGTACAGCGCAGTGGTCAGGCATTTTCTATACTCTATGAAGTGATTCCTCCAGATAAGTCTAGTACCCATCTGACACCCTACCTAGTCTTTATATTCCCCATACTGTATTTTATATCCCCGTGACTATTTTGAGACGACCAGTTTGTATTGCCCAATCCCTTCCCCGTGCCCCTATCCTCCAAGCCCCCTCCCATCTAGCAGCCATCACCTTTTCTCTGTATCTGTGAGTCTATTTCTGATTTGTTTGTTCATTTATTCTGTTCTTTAGATTCCACATATAAGTGAGATCATATGATATTTGTCTTTCTGTGTCTGACTTATTTCACTTAGCATAATACCCCTCTAAGTCCAGCCATGTTGTTGCAAATGGTAAGATTTCTTTTTTTTTTATGGCGGAATAGTACTCCATTGTATAAATATACCAGATTCTTTATCCAATTGTTTATTGATGGGCATTTTAGTTGTTTTCATGTCTTGGCTATTGTGAATAGCTCTACAATGAACATAGGGGTGCATATATTTTTTCAAATTAGTGTTTTGGATTTCTCTGGATAGATACCCAGGAGTGGAATTGCTGGGTCATAAGGTAGTTCTATTTTTAATTTTTTAGGTACCTCCATACAGTATTCTATAATGGCTGCATCAATTTGCAGTCCCACTGGCAGTGCACGAGGGTTCCTTTATCTCCACACCCTCAGTGACACTTGTTTGTTGATTTATTAATGGTAGCCATTCTGACTGGGGTGAAGTGGTATCTCATTGTGGTTTTTATTCACATTTCTCTAATGATTAGTGACATTGAGCACTTTTTCATATGCCTGTTGGCCATCTGTATGTCTTCTTTAGAGAAATGCCTCCTTATGTCCTCTGCCCATTTTTTAATTGGGTTGTTTGTTTTTTTGGTGTTGTATTTTTTTAAATAAATTTTGGATATTAACCCCTTATCAGATGTATCATTGGCAAATATCCCATTCAATAGGATATCTTTTGTTTTGTTGATGGTTTCCTTTGCTGTGAAAAAATGTTTAGTTTGATGTAGTCCCATTTATTTATTTTTTATTTTTTGCTTCCTTTGCCTGGGGGGATATATCAGTAAAAATATTACTCAGGGTAATGTCTGTGAGTTTACTTCCTATATTTTCTTTCAGGAGTTTTATGGATTTAAGTCTTACATTTAAGTTTTTAATCTATTTTGAATTTATTCTTTTATATGGCAGAAGAAGGTGGTCCAGTTTCATTTTTTTGCATGTGTCTGTCTACTTTGAATGTTTGCTGCCACTCCTCTGGCCTGTAAAATTTCTGTAGAAAAGTCAGCTGACAGTCTTATGGGAGCTCCCTTGTAAGTAACTAGTTGTCTTTCTCTTGCTGCTTTTAGGATTCTCCCTTTGTCTTTCACCTTTGCCATTTTAACTATGATGTGTCTTGGTGTGCGCCTGTTTGGGTTCCTCTTGTTTGGGACTCTGTGCTTCCTGGGCTTGCACATCTATGTCCTTCACAAGGTTCAGTCTTCAAATAGATTCTCAATCTCTTGCTCCCTCTCTTCTTCTGGTGCCCCTGTGGTGCGAATGTTGTTACGCTTGATGTTGTCCCAGAGGTCCCGAAACTACCTTCATTTTTTTAAATTGTTTTTGTTGTTCCAGTTGGGTGTATTGTGGAACCTTATTTTCTAAATTGCTGATTCCCTCTGCTTCATCTAATCTGCCGGTGATTCCTTCTAGTGTACTCTTCATTTAAGTTGTATTCCTTACTTCTGACTACTTTTTTATGGTTTCTATGTTTTTCTTTATGCTTGCTATCTCTTTGTTGAAATTCTCACTGAGTTCCTTAAAAGACCATGCTCTAACCAACTGAGCTAACTGGCCGCCCCCTTAAAAACCGGTCTTGGGTTACTGCCCACCAGCAAGCACTTCCCAGGCCGCTACAGGCCCTCCGCCCACTTTAAACACGTTTCCACCCTCAGTGGGGCAGAGCAGCCCAGCAGTCAAGAGTTTCCTGGGTGACGTAGTACCAGCTGTTTGGGGTGCAGGGACCTAGGGCGTCACCAAAGCAGTGCGCATGCGTGGATTCCACCAGACCAGTGTGGTCCCGACTTGGCCCTGTGGGAGAGGGCTTAACACTGAGAAGATGGCGCCTCCTATAGGCCACACAGGGGCAGCAGTGGCCCTTGTCCCTCTAGCTTCTGTGCTGAAGCCATACAGCTCAGTTTTTCCCCACACGTCCCTGGGCCTCCTAAGCTGCTGCCCCTCCACCAGAGACCAGGCAAGTGCCCACAGGCTAGTGAGTCCACGTGCCGGCTCTATAAGAGGGCGTCTGTGTTTCCAGCCGCCTTCCACCCCATTGGGAAGGGCGGACAGAGTCTTCTCTGATTTTCACTGCCAGATGCACCAGACTCCTGGGCTGGGGATCCCGGAGGGGACCTCTGTCACCAACGTGTCCCTCCTGGCATTCAACCACCACCTATGAGTTTGGGAGTAGCCCGTTTCACGTCTCCATTCCTCCTACCAATTTTGATGTGGCCTCTTCTTTATATCCTTAGTTATAGGGAGTCTGTTCAGCTAGCGTTCAGATGATTCTTGAGGTTGATTGTTCTATATTTGTAATTTTGTTGTGATCCTGGGATGCAGTAGGCATAGCATTTATCTAATCCACCATCTTGGACCTCCCTTCATTGTAAATTTTTTAGTGAGTCTGTAAATATCGTTCAGGATGGGAGTTTTTCCTGTTACATGTAGTGTAATCCTTATCACAGATATGTACTGACACTGTAGCTGAGGACGTTTCCAAGAAAACCCTTAGGTTGAACAGTTTGCTGCAAGGACTCGCAGAACTCAGAGAAGCTGGTATGCACTGTTGCAGTTGATGGCAGTGGAAGGAGAAGGAGGTGGCCAGAGCAGGCTCCAGCAGAGCCTGGGGGAGCTCTGCAGATGTTTGATGGTGGGACAGTTACAGGCTGTGCTTTATGACCCGAATTGCACTACTCCCGTCTTTGCTCCTGTGAGTATCCTCATTCACCTCGTACCCTCCCCCTTTGCAGCCAGAGCACCACCGATCCAACAGGCCCATTCAGGGCATGTCTAGGGACGGCAGTCTTGTGGTTTCTAGTCTGATTCTTCTGTCGCTGTTACTGAATTATCCTTGTAAATGCTCTCTTCTTTGTTGTCTCTCCCCATTGTTACTACAGGAAACAAATGTGTTTTAGAGCTTGGCTTCCCACCATAGTCTTGCAAAAGCTCTTGCAAATTACAGAATAGAAAAGTATGCAGTTTTCACAGAAAATTTACCCTGGATATCACACTGTAGCAGATTTTGTAGAATTGGTATTTGAAATAATATAAATTCATTGATTTTTAAAAAATAAATAGAGTGGTGTCTATTATAATATATAATATATGCATTTCAATGAGACATTTCCTAAAAGAAGCCCTGAAATCTAAAACAAATTAAGTGGTGTTCATGTACTTACTATACAGTAAAGACTCGATGACATTATTTCTAGTTAGCCTATTTGTTAATGAAGTTTTACTTATGCTTATGGTGAATATTACTACTTTTTCAAATCATTTCATTCCTCCAATCTTATTTTCAAAGCTTTCCAAGAGACTAAGGGACAAGAAATTCAAAGAGCCAATCACCAGCGCCTTGCAGAAGCTGGAGCAGCATGGCGGAAGTGTGAGTAGGACATTCTCCCTTACATCATCATTTTTTTTCTTTTTACTTTTAGTTGTTTTACAGAATTGGCTGTATAACATATGGTACCTCATTTCAGCCGCGAGTAGCCATGTGGGGTTGATAGGATTATTTTCATTGTAGAGCTCCGAGTTTCTGCCTTGCCTGGGTTGCCCAGTGTTTAAGCTGGGATTGAGACCCAGCTTGTATAACTGCAGGCTCACACCCTCTCGCTGTGCTTCCTATAGGGCAGTCTGTGTGGGGCAGCTTTACGCTGTTCTTGTTTATTTTGGATATTTTTGCTTTGATCAGTGGAAGTTCAGAAAATAGGACAATGTAGAAAACTCATTGAAGACAGAGTACCTTTTTCTTCTTTTCATTTGCCATCTTTTTGGTCTAAAAAATTTATAATTTGCCCATAATCAAAGGTTGAAATGAGATTTCCAGATGTCTGTGCGACCATGTCTGGAAGCGCACGTGTGCGTGACTGTGAGCATGTGGGCGTACACACACACAGGAGTGAGCCAGTTGAGTATTTTAACTTATAATGAGGTAGTGAATTTCTTTATTATCTGTGTTGTGTCAGGTAACTAGAATGAGCTTTCATCTTTTGAAAGAGTTCAGATAATCTAGTCTTAGAAGTATTTCCAGAAAGCAGTGATCCCATCTTGTTTTGGAGATTACATCTAATCAGACCTTAATGATAGAGTTGCATGTGATTATCTTAACGTTGCAGAAGTAGTTTCATTTTTCTGAAGGAATTAACTATAAAGAATGATTGTATGCAGTTTTAAAATGGCAGATGTTTTAGTTTAAGCTTTGCCTAAATTACCTAATTTGATCAATTTCCGTCACTTTTTAAATTGATGATATTCTTTCCATGATGAATGCCTGGAATAATGTTTGAGGAGGAAGTAAGTCCCAAGACTACCAGATAATGGATTTCTTTGTAGTGTGTGGGTGCTAGACAGAAGATTAGCATTCAGATACCTTGTGGTGATGTGTACAGGACCGTCCTCTAGCCAGTCCATCTCCCTTCCCAGCAGAAAGGAAGTTCCTCTTGCTTGCAATGTGCTTGCTGTTCTGAGAATTAGAATGCAGAATGAATTTGTCCTTTCCTCCCCTGAGAAATGCAAGTAAACCAATGCCAAATAATGATGGCACAGCTTTTCAATCTGAAACTCTTCCAGCACAGTTACGGGGAGTGGGGCAAGTAGAAAGGGGTGTGTCTTGCATGTTAGATTTCATGGGTGTGTGTGCAGAGCTGGGGATGGTTTGTGTCAAGTTTAGAAATAGCACACTACGGTTTGGAGGGGGAATAGTGAAGGTATAGATGACCAACCCACGGTCCCAGAGACAGCGAGCAAGGGAGTTCCTCTCTTACTACTCAGTCTCATTTGTTTTGAATCAGGCTAATACAGAATAAAAAAAACATTGTGAAGTTATAAGGGCTATTAAGTATTATTTATTCCTTCAGATTTTTTCCTCTTCTTGCTATCTCCTAATATCTTGCATACTGTTTTAATAATAATTGCTGTAATTGCAGTCGGAAATCACAATTACATATCAAAGACTTTCCTTTGGCTTAATTATTATTATTGCACTTACTTTGGGTACTTTGTAATCCTACATGACACTAATGAATGCTCTTCTTTTCCTTCTAAAATGTTCATACATCTTTCTGTTTAAGTACTTACAGATGAGCCTTTAAAAAAGATTCTTCTCAGTATTGCAATTTCTCGTCTCTTAAGGCCTGTGTATATCACCACGATGGACTCAACTTCCGGGGAAACAAAAATATCAGTTACAGATAGTCACAGTGTCATTTTCTTATAACTAATCAATTTACAACCTGCCTTAAATGGAAAATGGTTCATTCTGAATTTGATTTCATTTGTTTCTAAGTGATTCGCACATTTGTCTTGGGAAAGGTGCATATTTACACACACCCAAGCTTGACTGAGCACGTGGGAACTTATGCCAGAAATTCTGTAGAGTACATTTTAGACATTAAACTCATTGAATCTTGACTACAACCCTCAGAGGGAGGTTTTATTGTTACTGCCCTTTAAAGATCTAGAGACAGAGGCGCAGAGAGGTAATTACCCCCAGATTTGACAGTGAAGTGACGAGCAGAAGCTGGATTCAAATACTTGTAGTCTGGTTCCGAACTACCTCTCTCGTATATGAGTATTTTTAAAAAACAGTGAGACAACCTATATTTTATTTAACTCAGAAAAAAGTTTGCACTTCTCATTTCATCATTCTGCTCTTATCCCATTTTGTTTATTTGTTTTGAGCTTTGGACACTTTTTTTAGGCATGCTCTTGCAAATGGAACACCTGTTAGGGGAACCCAGCATGATACTAATGAAGCTACATTTTTCTCTCTCGCCAGGGAAGCCTTGTCATCATCAAATCTAAAATTCCAACATATTGCTCCGTATGTTGCTGAAGAAGGGAGCCAACGAAAATCTTACTACTGGGGACAGGTATTACAGTGCTGAGCATGCGTACCTGTGGGACCTTTGCAGATTCACTTCAGTTTATTCTTTTCTAAATCACAGCCACTATTCGTTGTTATCTAGGTTAAGATGAATATACAAAATTCCATTGAATCATAGTAAAAATTACTCAGCAACAAAAAAGAATGGTTAGTGATAGAAAACTATTTTTAAAAGTTCTATAATAGTACAGTTTTGTGAGAACTATTTTTCATATTTCTGTGCTTTGTGTGAACAACGATTATTGGTTTGCAGTGGATGTTTGCATTTATTTTCTAGCGCCTTTTATTGATAGCATCCCATTTGTCATCAGTTTGTAGCTGTATACTTATTTATTGACAGTTTGCCATTTCTGGACTCTGTATTTATCAAGCCTATGGAAGTTTAAAATAGTGGACAAACATTTGTGAATTCACTCCATTATCATTTGTAAATACATATTTTATAATGTAGAATGCTTGGGAAAATTTCTTTCCAGAGTATTCTAGTTTAAGAAAAAATTTTTCTAAATGTGTAGGTTCCCTTATAAGTACGTTGTTTATTACAACTTATTAAAACTACCTAAACTTTAGGTATTAATTGTATTTAAATAAATGTTATTTTTCTATTTTATAGTCTGAAAATACTGAAGATATTCAGTACATGAAGATATTCAGAAATTAAAATCTTAAAACTCTTCCATGTATTCAGTGATTTTGTTGTGCTTGCTTATGTTGTACAATTAATTCAATTGAAAAGGCTTTTGTCACAATTGATAGGCGTCATTCTCACTGTTGAAGTCGTAGAAGCTGACTGGGTCATTCTACAGGGAAAGGCGCAGACAGGACCTTCCACCCTCAGGGCAAGAAGAGAGGCCACAGGAACTTGAGGAGTCGCACCAAATCCAAAGCAGACCGATAACGTGTGAAGGGACGGACCTTGGGGGTCACTCTTATATAGGGGGCAGCAATGTTATATTCGAGAAGCGTCGGAGAACACCCTTTCTGTGTCATTCTTACTTCAGCTAGAGTCTTGCAGGTATTTAATAATTTAAAAGAATCCAGGTAACTTCTGCAGAGGCATGGTAATGCTCGCCCTCCCGCAGGTCCTCTGTGCTTCCTGGTCCCCGGCCTGGTACACTGTGCCCTCAGGTTCCACTCATGGTCACATCCTCAGGCACATTAGCTGCAACACCTGCCCGGCCCCTGGCTTTGCTCTGCCCTTCTCCACTGCGCTTAGCACTGCCCAAGGCAAAGCTACCTAGAACATGCCATAAGAAAAATGGAATCGTTAAAAATCTAGCAATGATAAAGTGTGTTGGAATAAAGACCTTATACAATACAGTAGAGTTATAAACATTTTATTTGCTTTTCTTTTTTTCTTTTTGAAATACAAAATGTGCACGTTGAGTTTACACAGACACGCGATGGCGAATCTCAGTGTACATGTATTGTACTACTCTTAATGTCTACACTGGTGATAGCAGGGCAGCTTTCAACATCCTATCTCTACACCAGAATAGATACCTGATTTATTGTTGCAAAGACAGTTGCAGGTTTCTTCCTACTGCATGTAGCCTCTTAGTCTTGTGATATTTCTGCAAAACAAGGACGGTGTGTGTACCTTCAGTAATGTGGTGGCAAATTTACAATTTTGGCTTAAAAGCATTAAAAAGAATCTGAATTATTGGAGTTTTAGGATAAGCTAAATCATAATACAATCCAGATGAGTTGCTCAGCATTTATGTTCATGTTCTACAAGGTTTTGGTGTTAAGAGTTCTGAAGATAATGGAATCACGGTTGCTTTCAGAGCGAGTCCTGCTTGCTGTTGGTTCCCAGCGGGCATTGGGGTTGTCAAGGCTTCCTGTGCCTGAATGGCAGGTAGATAAAGGTGCAGTGAGGGAGTTGGGGCAAGAATGGACTAGGCCTTCCATGCTGGTAAAAGCTACCTTTTGTCAGGTCCCTGACCGTTTGCGTATGCCTGTACACACCCTCACTTCGTGTCACACCTTCTTGGACTTCCACTTAATGACACAATAGTAAACAGTCAACCTATAGGATTGAACAAATCCAAAATTACATACATCATGTAGGCCTTGGCTGTAACATGTATTTATGAAAAATTAAATGCTTATTAAATAAGCTTTATTAGGCATATGCTGACAGCTGGTGATAAACTAATTTGTTTCATATTATTTATAAAAAAATGCCAGATAAATAAATGTCTTGAACAGAAGGCAGCAAATCCATAGAAACTGCGACTATGTTTTCTTAAATTGTGGTAATCATGTTTACTTAAAGTATATAAATGGAATTAGAGCATACAAACATGAAAATTAATTTCCAGAAATTAAATGCAGATGCCAGTATTTTAGAAAATCATTTAAAACCCTGGGACTGAATACATACAAATGAGTAACAAAAGAAACATTTTAAAATTACTGATAATGTGAAAGCGTCAATAATCCCATGGCTAAAGAATCAATAAAACTATACGCCAGATTCTGTTAGGTTTGAATGTTCACAGGGTGTGAAATGTCTTGGACCGTCCCATGAACTCTGTGGCATTATGAATAGGATGCAGATTTATAACCAGAAAACGCAAATCTGTGGGGGATTGCTTCTTATTAAAACAAAGCTTGTTTGCATAATATGCCTCAGTGTAAAGCTGAGCAATCTATGCTAAAAGTGGTAGCTCCAACTTTAAGTGTGGTAGAATAGTTCACATTTGTCTGATTGAGGACGCATTCGACAAGTTAAATCACATTTTCAAAGAGCTGCATGGAGCGCATTATGTTTTCATCCTGTAAGGGAGAAACAGTGGGATTAAATTCAGCATGTCTGCAGGGGAAAGGACAATAAACTCACTGTAAGTTGTTGGTAGGTTCTGTGACTTGAAGCAAAAAGACATATAACAAAACCAATTTGTATAAACTAGTTAAGATCCTATGGTATCTTATCAACGTTATTGAATGAATGACATTGAATGTTGAGTAAACGACATTGAATGAAAGGACATCATTCAAGGGCCTGCTGCACACTGTTTTGCCTCTAAGCACTGCCTCTCCCCACCCACCAACCACCTATGCCAAAAGCTTAAATACTGTTTGCAGATGTACGCGGCGTTCTGTCTTATGTTCCACACAGACAACGATGCGGAGCCCAGGTTAGGCTTTGTTGAGACCACCAGGCTTTAAACACTTCATGTAAATCTTACTCGGTGTGAATAGAGGGTATTTCTCAAATCGGAATGACAGCATGGGAGCTAGAGGGGAACGGGGTAGAAGGAAACGGTTTGTGTGTGAGCTGAGAGCCACCTTTGTGAGGAGTGGAGGTTGGGCTTCGGGATGTGTTTGCAGTCATCACACCTCTTTCTGGATATGTTGGGACTAAACCTGTGGGGCCTTTAAGAATGAATGGTCCCTCAATGCCAGAGCAAGAATTGCTCGGGAAAAACCATTGCCAGTGGTTGTGTTCAGTTTCGCATAATTCTTCAGAAACGAAGGGAACAGACTGGGCACATTACAGGGGCACCTGGAGATTGTGAGTGGCACTCGGTGAGCTTTTTATGGTAATGCTGAATGGCAGCTGAACTAATGATGGCTTGCACCCCTGGAAGCCAGGTAAAACCATCACCATTAAGGCAGGTCTATGTCACCAAGTTAATTCTCTCAAAGACCACCAGATCGAAATCGGAGTTTAGAAACAAACATCAGGAAAGGGAAAGTATATCCATTTGAAAATAAAGAGAAAAGCTAAAACACCAGCAATCTCCTTTGTCTCTGTTTTTTAAAATTCGTTAACTGTGGTTCTACTAACACATCAAATAATTCTAGGTAAGCTAAAACGGGTCTCCCACTAGACGGCAGAAAATTACCCAATTTCTCTGAGAGAAGATTCTGCTCTTTAGTTTTTGTGACGGAAGACCGTTACTGCTTCAGCCAAAGAGCCATTTCTTGTCCAAACACGTTCAAGCAATTGTTTCTCTTAGAAATTGGCTATAAGCTTGGCCTGTGATACATACTTAGCTGTACGGGAATTCTAAATCTATTGCAGATATGACAGACGATACACATAGGCTAAGTAAAGAGCAATTTAAATCACATGTCTTATCCTAAATAATGAATACTCTCTAAGAATTTAGGGAACAAAAACACAGTCCATGGGCAACTTTTGTGTCTCCAGGGCTTCCTACATAGCCTGTAGGCACTACAAATGCGGATCAATTGAATGTATAAATTGGTGATTGTTTTCATAGCAATGGGCTTCCAGAGGCTGTGTAACAGTGGTAAACTCAGGCATATGATCTTCATGTTTTGCTCACTTCATGGTTCCTTTATTGTCATTACTCACTTTTTGGCAACTTTCGATGAACTCATCTATAGTAACGACTCCGTCTTTATTTTTGTCCATTTTCTGTTCAAGAAGAAAAGAATAAAAAACTTTATTCAGACTTACCCCTAGATACCCTCACACCTGAACCCAATGAGCTGAAGTTGATGAAAAGAAAGCCCGCTGCTTGCGCCATGGGGGGAGTTGCTTCAGAGCATGGAATACTGTAGTGCTTTGTTAGCGATCAGAACATAAGGCTGACTCCGTATAAGCTGTTCCCTTTGCAACAGAATGTGAAGCAGCTCTGGAGTCACTGACCTAGGTGCAGTCCTGCCTGCTAGCTATGCCAGAGCTAAGGCAATCTGCTGCAACTTCCAGAGCCTTGGTCTTCTCATCTGTAAAATGGTGCTAATGAGGATTTACGAGTATAACCTCGTGGGCTTCTTGTGAGGATAGAATGCAAGCAAACAAAACCATAGAAAACATGGCGATTGCTTAGTGTTCTATCTAGGATATTGTGAATGTTCAATACGCATAGTTATCGGTATTATAATCACTTCAAAATTATTAAATTGGTAGGATGGTGCCTATGCTATCGTTTTGTCCCTTTCAGGCAAAAAATGTTTTCCTTTGCATTCTTTTGAATCATGATGACACTGTGCAAACATCAGGAAATGTCCTCTTCATTCCATTGTCTCTCTGACTTCTGTTTGCATCCCTACCTGGAAAAACGTTTCCACGTGTTGTCTGGGAGCGTCTTCTTTGAGGACAGGGTATGTGCATTTTCCCATCATGTCGTATATCGCTTTCATGATGTCGAGCATTTCCTGAAAAGTCAAAGACACTCACATGAGGCTGCAAGCAATGTGTGGAGAAACCACCCTGAGAAGCTTTGACACTTCATTCCTACACAATTTCAAATTTCTAATTTTTCCTTGCTTCATTAAAAACCTTTTGGTTGTCCTCGAGGAAAAGCCAGCAGCTTTGTTCTTGAAAAGCAGCAGAATCAAAACGTAGGAATCATTTCTGATCTTGGTTTCAAAATGAAGTCAATTCCCACATACTTAACATAATCAGAAAGGCACATTCTCATTTAATGTTTGGATTTCCACAGGCTTTACATAGACTCTCTTTGATTTATTGAGTTATATATCGTACACGTTGATTATCAATTTCTTTTTCTTAAGAATAAACACATCGTGAGCATTATACTAAATCGAACTGATGTGTCAAAGCTCATTAGGATTTTCATTGTTCTTTTCCTATTATGATTTTAACTGAAGAAGTCACTCATGTAGATTAGTCAAAATGTTATGACTGGCAGACACCTTAAATTTTCATTCTTTTTTATGAAAACAAAATCTAGTTTTTACTTGTCATTTTCAATCTTAGTAAAAATAACATCCAAGTATTTAGACATTCAGATATTGTTTCACGCTTGTTTCGTTCATTTGGAGTTTCCACATAAAAGTCTCTGCATTACACTGACAATCCAGAGGTAGTATACATTTACTTTGGAGAGTATTCAGCTCTATTATAAATGATAAACTAGTTTGTAGTTTATAAGTCACAGGTGAAACCTTTTAAGATATTTGGAATTTAGACAAGTAGGAAAAATATTGTTTGAAATGAAAAATGAATTCATACACAGAATTCATGAGGTGTGTTAGGTATAAGCGGTAAGAAAAGCATATTTGTGCTAAACGTTGAGATAGAAAGGGATTGAAGGATTGAAAAGATACCTAATATGCCTGAGGCATCTGAGTACTAAATGCTAATTGTATAGCAAATACACAAGAGGCACTAGCTGTTCAGGATATGCTCTGTTTACATGAACACTTAGTATTCATGAGATCTTTCTGCCATCAATTGGTGAGGAACAGTCTGGCCCCACGTGCCCTTTGCTCAAGAAATACAAATAAAACCCATGGCCATTGATCAGGCTAATGATCAAGCTATGGTTGTGGTCAAGTGTACTTGTTTTTGTCTCCAATAAAGCAAGTTCATGTCATTGGCCCAGGGTGCCTTTTGATTGAGTACACTCTTGCTCAAAACTCACCTCAGGGGAAACCTAGGGAGGCAGAGAGGAAGGCAGGGCAGAACACAGGCCTCCCAGGCAGGATTCAGGTAACGCCCTGCAACCTCACTTGCACCCTGTGCTAAAATGGTTAACTTACTCCATCACTTTTCCTTTGCCTTTTATTGTATTTTAAATTGGTTTCATAAACCACTTGATATGAGCATCTTAATTTGATCTGTGGGCCTTCTTTCTGAGATAGCTTGCCTGGGAGTGTTTGGGAGAACCTACCATTCCATCAGGTCATTTTTCCAAACAATACAGTTCATTGCATAATCTATATGACATTAAAATTCTGTTTTCATGTGAACCACATTATATGTGGAAGGTCACAGGCCAAGTATCCTAACATGGTTTGGATTTTTTTCCTATCTGATTCCAGTCATAGTCTGTATTCCATTTATAGCATTACTAAAATACCATTCGAAAACAAGGTTATAATCCTTATATATTTTATATTTACTTTGCAGATTTGCTATAAACTATTCTTATCCATTCCAGATTTTTTTATTAGAATATTTCCCCACCACCTTGTAAAACTTTTTAGATTTCCTGAAAAGGCAATTTTCAAATTAATAATTGCAACTGTTTAACATTTTGACGTTAAAAAATGAAAATGGCCCAAATGAGCTGCATTGGTAAGGCGTTTCTTACTTCTTTAGTGATATAGCCATCTTTATTTATGTCATACAAATTAAATGCCCAGTTGAGTTTTTCTTGTACTGTCCCCCGGAGCAAAATGGAAAGGCCCTTGATGAAATCCTAGAAAGAAATAAAAAATACAATTTGATATGCTAATTCTAGAAAATTAAAACTCAAACGCTGACAAGAAGTCTCCCTTAAATGATGGAAGCAAGGGCTACAACCCTCTGGATTTTGAACCATTTATTTAGCAAAATGATCAATGTGTTCTTGGTCATCTGTTTCTCAGAGTTCTTTGTGAGCACAATCCTCTCATACTCTTTAACATTCTCATCTTCTAAGTGGAAGCTGTGACTTAAGCTAATTTTGAAATTGGAAGTGGTATCAAAACAGACACCTGCAAAGAGCAAGACGCATGCTGTAAGTGATACTGGCTTCCCACACGTGCGCACAATTCTTCTACTAAAAAGAACCTAATAAAACTGTATTTTAAAAAATACAAACACATACATAACACACTTTCCATGAAAAAGATATGTTAACAAGACACACGGGCTGTCCTTAATTAAGATATGGGCCAACTGTAACCTTTATTTAGAAATCGAGTTATCACGCACATGTGGGCAGTGGTTAAGAGCATGGAGCTGGAAGCCAGGCTGTCTGAATTCAAATTCCAGCCATGTCACTTGATAGCTTTGTGTCCTCAGACAACTTAACATCCATTTGCCTCGATTTTCATATCTGTAAAATGGAAATTGTAGCATCTACTAGTTGGGGGTGTATATAGGATTTGAGGTAAATTTACAGATCAACTTGGGCAGTTGACAACTGCTTGTGGATGAGTCTTCCTACTCAAGACTGCAGAATCTTTTTCCCTTGTCCACACCATTTTTGTCACTGAGCACATTGGTTTCCTATCGCTGCTGTAACAAATTACCATAAACTTAGCAGTTTAAAATAATATATATTTATTATCTTACAGTTGCAGAGGTCAGAAATCTAAAATGGGTTTCACTAGGCTGAAGTCAAGATGGGGGCTGGACTATGCCCCATTCGGGGGATCTAAAGAGAGAGTATGCTCCCTTGCGTTTTCCAGCTTCTAGAGGCCACCTGCATCGCGCGGCTTGTGGCCCCTTCCTCCATCTTCAAAGCACATCCCTGCAACCTCTGCTCCTGTTATTATTTCTCCTCTTCCTGACTCTGATCTCCCTGCCTCCTTCTTATAAGGATCCTTGTAATCACATTAGGTCTATCCAGATAATCCAGGATGACCTCCCCATCTCAAGAACCTTAATCACGCCTGCAAACCTTCTTTCACCATGTAAGGTAACATAGCCACAAGTTTCAGGAATTGGGAAGTGGACATCTTCTTTAGTGCGCCATTATTCAGCATACCAAACCCTGGTATGTTCTAGATCTTTTTGTTTCTTCCAAAATGTTCTTTCACATTTCTTAGTTATAGCTATGTCTAGATATTTTAGTCCTTTTGTTGCTGCTGTAAATGAAGTATTTTCTTCTATCACAATCAAATTTTATATGTACAGTATAGAAAGCTATTGATTTCTGTATAATAATTTTATATGCTGCTACCCACCTGAGTGTTCCTATTGTATATTGATAGTTTTTCAATGGATTCTCCTGGGTTTTTTATGTATGGAATCATATTTTCTGCAAATGGAGTTAATTTTACCTCTTCTTTCTAATTTTTAAAATATTTTAATTACATTTTTATTTCTAACTGTATTGAATAATACATCCAGAACAATATTACATAATTACCATAATAGTAGACATCCTAATTTTGTTACTGAATTTAATGAGACTATTTCTAGTGTTTTCACTTGGAGCATGGTACTTTTATTATGTTAAGAAAGCATATAAGTCCCATTTTATTAAAAATTTTATCAAGAACGACCATTGACCTTTATTGCAGAAGTGGAAAAGGTGATCTTCAAATTCATATGGAACTGCAAGGGAGCTCGAAACAGCCAAAACAATATTGAAAAGGAAAAATAATGTTGGAGAACTCCAACTTCAAGACAAAGCTTCAGTGCAGCGTGGCACTGGCATGAGGAGAGATAGATAGACGGGCGAAATACCATTGAAAATCCAGAAATGCACTCAAATATCTATGGGCGTTGATGTCCAACAGTGTACCAAGTCCATGCAATGGAGAAGGAATAGCCTCTCCAACAGATGGTTCTGTGACAGTTGGCTAACTACCTACTTTGCTTCCCATCTTTATTCAGGGTAAAATAAGAAAAAAAAAAAGAAAAAAAAAAGGACTCAAGGCCACAAAGAATTCCTATATTTATTAGGAAGACAGGAGGGGTGACACTGGCAAAGGGTCTTGAAAAGAAGTTGCTAAAGAAATCAGAGAAATCAAGGAAAAAAGAGCGTTTCACTAGGAGGGGCGTGTCCACACTGACACACACGACTGAAAAGTGCTCATTGGCTCAGCGGCATGGAGGTCACCAGTGACTGGTGGGAGAAGTTTCAGCGGAGCTTAGGGAGAGAAGCGTGTTGGGAACTGGATGCAGAGAACTCAGCAGACCCGGCTGTGCGTGTAGATCGAGGGAAAGGGCTCTAGGTGAAGAGGTAAGTGACGGGATCACAGGAGAGATCTCTGAAGGTGAGCACTTCGAATGCTTAAAGTAATTAAAACTAAAAAATAACTATTTAAATTCTTTAACGGGAGGGAAGACTCTAAAGCGAGGGAAATACTAAAGGTTGTGTGCGCGTGAGAGAGGGGACGTAAGGAGTGGGCTGATGCTCCTGCGAAGGGGGGAGGCATCCAAGTGCAGGTGGATGGTCCCGGCGAGGAAGGGAGGAGGCTCATTTTCGCAAGGGGTCCAGAAGGAAAATGGAGAACGGGGTACAGATGTCAGCAGCTGATAAGAGATAGGAAGGTGAGTGAACGCCCATCTGACAGCTTTAATGGGTATCTGCTGCGGAGTGGAGGACAGAGCAGAAAGGGTAGGAATTGGAGGTTTGAGCCGAGATCAAGAGGCCGACTTGCCACGAGATGATGACGTGTGCAAGTTACAGGAACTCTGGAGCTCCTTAAAAAATGTCCCCTGAGAATCCATATGTTAACCTGTAATATATAATATACTGTAGTTAAGAGGTAATGGCACCCTTTGCAGTTGGGCAAACGATAAGCTTTGGCTTTTTAAGAGGGTATACAATAATCACAGCAGAGCAAGGGTTGGTAAGCTTATAGGGGAAAAATTGTTGGCAATTTGAAAAGCCAGATGAGATTGATGGTTATCAATATCAACCTTATCTGTTGCTTCAGATCACAAAGGAATAGTTATGTGCCCTTAGTTGAAAGTGGGGTGATTCTGGATACAAGGTCTTTTCAGACATGTTTATAGCAACGCTTCTCAGGATTTAGCTTGCAACAGAATCACCTGCGGGACTTGCTAAAACAGATGGCTGGGCCCCACCCCCAGAGTTTCCACTTCATTGTCTGGGGTGGGGTGCAAGAATTTACTTTTTTTTTTCTTTAATGAGCAGGGGTTTTTATTTTTAATTATTTTATGAATTTTTTTTCAAGTATGTAATTCAGTATTATTAACTATAGCCGCCACGCAGTACATTGCATCCCCATGACTTATTTTAGAGCTGGAAGTTTGTCAAAAGGCATGAAGAAGTTACATTTCTAACACAATCCAAGGCGGAGCTGATACTGCTGGCCCTGGAATGGCACTGAGAACCACCAGCCTATAAGAGCCATCGCTGGCATGGGCCCCATCACCACACAGAACAGAACAGAGCAACAAGGCAAGGTTTAAAGAAAGCACTTTTAAAGTCACGTGTGGACTTCAGTTGTTCACCTCCCTAATAGGTCCTAAATTTCCATTTGGCACTCAGACCAGTTCTGCGGAAGCACTTCCTTTTTGGCTCTGGCGATGGAGCTGTGACCTGGGCCAAGTCAGGACACACAGTTTACCGCTTTGGTCAAGGCAGTCTGTGGTTGGCCTGGGACTGCACCCAGGCCACATCTGAGTGGCTCTCAGGACGCCTGCTCGGAGGGGTAGGACAGAGAGATACTGTCCCTCCCCTGCTGGACCAGAACAATCAGGCCTGGAGCCCAGGAGCTGCTGGCATGTCCTTGTGACCACGAGGGGGCCCCCTCTTAGGCTGTAGCTGCCCCTACCTCTGGACTTTTTGTTCCTGGGAGCCAATGAAACTATCATACTGTTTTTGTTAGTGTATGCTTTTCTACTGTAGCCAAAAATATCCTGATTCACAAGCTGCCATCTAAATCACGTGTTCTTGAATACTATACATCCTGAAACTACTTACATTTAAAGATAACCATGAACCTCGAACATCCTTCTCTCTTCTACCACCTTGCAGGAGGATATCAATAAACAGTTATTTCCAAACAGGAATGAGTCCTTATTTGTGCCAAAGAAAACTAGAAACTCAACGCATCATACATGGTTTTTGCTCCATGTTTTTCTGAATGGTAATTGAAATCTGTCGAGCAGGAGTTGCAGCCTTAAAAAAAAAAATCTCGAGTGCTTTGCACAATTACCCTACTTTGATCTGTGAAAGCAGGTTGCATCTGTTCCCTAATGTATAAAAATGATAAGGGGAGACCTGCCCTGAAGTCTGGTTTCCATTTTCTCATGACCAAGTGAAAGAAGGAAAAAGGCACAGAAATTTGACTTTATGATAACCTAGTTTTGTTCAATAGTGAGTGTTATTGACCTATAAACCTTTGCCAGGACCATTGGTCCTCCTGTCTCACTACATGCCACTCAAAGAGCTCTGTGGCTGAGAGTCATGCATTTGGGGGCTTTTACAACAAACAGTCCTGTTTACAGATGGGAAAGCAACATTAAGTGACTCTCCAAAGGTTAAAAAGATTAACTTAAGTAAGCAGTGGCAGATTCGGAAAGTCATATATGTGTTTAGTATATTTCTAATTTTATGCTTGCTTCCATGTTTTCATAAACTTTTTTAAGGTTGTTGATTTTCTCTAGTATGACCTTCCTTGTTTGGGGTTGAACTTCCATAGTGATTGAGCTACTATTTAAAGTATTTGGAAGATCCAATTTCAGGTACTACAATACATAAGGTTTGCATTTGTTTGGAACTAATAAAAG